GGAAGGTGGTTGTGAAATTTCCTGTATTGGTTGCAGTTAGACATTAACACTGTTGCATATCGACTCAGTGGTTTAGACGTTAAGCATTCAAGTGTGAGACCGAAGGTCCTGGGTTCGAATCCGTTCAAGGGGACAAAACAGCCGTCTAGTGCTTCCAGGTTTTCAATGATGATCTACCTTCAATTGACTCATGAATTCAACTGTAAAATTTAAATTAATCGACAAATTTAGAAGAATATTGGAAAGTTGTTTCATCCTAGATTGGAAATATGTCAACAGTGGTTATTTGTAAATCTAGATGGAGTCGAGATTTACAATGTTTACATGTAGTTGCAAGTACAAGATATTTAGTCCATAGTATAAAATATTGACTCATGATCTCAACTATTGAAATCATTACATCATCCATAAAACTCCTTCTGATATGAATCAACGTATGCTCACTGGTGAGTGGCTTCAAGAGGCATTTCTCGGAGTTCTAATGAGAAGTAGTAGTGACTAGTGGAGTTCAACCAGGTCTGTTGTGAGATATCAGCTCAATGAAGACAATAGTGTAAGGCGGTGCAATTTCATGAATTGGTTGAAGTTAGACATTAACACCGTTGTATGCTGGCCGGCTCAGTGGTCTAGAGGTTAAGCGTCCGCGCGCGAGACTAATTGGTCCTGGGTTCGAATCTCATTAGGCGGGATCATGGATGCGCACTACTGAGGAGTCCTATACTAGGACGAAACGGTCGTCTAGTGCTTCCAGGTTTTTCACAGTGGTCTAGCTTCAAATAACCCATGATCTCAACCATTAAAATTACTATAATATCCACAAAACTCCTTCCGAACTAGATACAATAATATCTAAATTACCTATTCATAGTGTTTTATAGTTTAACTAGATAATAATACAAGTAGTTAAAAGACTAAGGTGTCTACAATCTATGATTGTTTTAAAAGTGTACTTTATTATTGAACTAGTATATATATATATATATTGTAAGTACTGTAAAAACTTCGCAAATGATTGACATAAACAACTTAATCAGTTTTGAAGTTAAAGAAACACATACATCATTTCATGTTCAAGATGATTAATTTGAATCAGTTCTTTTATTTGAATATATCTATACATATATGGTAAGGGTGTGTAATACAAAAGATTGACATATTTTTATGTTAGTTACAGAGAGAGAAAAAAAAATTGTAATTAAAGAACATCTGGAACTCAAAATAACTGTCTGTCAACCAATATCAAAGTTAGAATTTTCAACATAAGTATCAAGACACTTCTATTGTATAAGGTGGAAACTTGGAGAGCTACAGAAACTATCATCCGAAAGATACAAGTGTTTCAAAATGGATTGATCACTGAGTGGTGATCAATGTCATGTGTGTCTAGTCCATATTATTAGTGCAGATCAAATGTTATCGACCATGTTGTAATGTGACCACCAGTTTAGGTGAATCGACACTGCGTGAACTATGTTGAGATAAGATGATGGTTGAAGGTAGTCAATAGAAAACATTGGACTCAGGTTTTGTGCACCAAGGAGCACCAGTTCTCTCAAGATTACAGGTACACCTTATTGACAAGTACCAAGTAGCATGAAACCCAGGTCCAGGGTTTCCTGTCGACTACCTTCAACCACCATCTGATGATACAAGAGTTTATTAACAGTTCTCTATGCAAAATACTTCTGATCTGTTGGTTAGATACTATCAGTAACCACCTATTGTGGGAGCGAACAAATCAGATCCCAGCGGATGAAGAAATCAGGAAGAATCGCTGGAGGTGGATAGGACACACAATGAGAAAAGTACATAACTGCATCACAAAGCAAGCTCTCACATGGAATGCTCAAGACGAAAGGAAAAGAGGAAGACCAAAGAACACATTACGCCGGGAAATGGAGACAGATATGAGAAAAATGAACAAGAATTGGATATAAGCAGGAAGGAAGGTTCAGGACGGGGTGGGTTGGAGAATGTTGGTCGGCGGCCTATGCTCGATTGGGAGTAACAGGCGTAAGTAAGTGTTCGCGTGCGAGATCGAAGGTTTTGGGTTCGAATCCCACATATAGAATCGTGGATGCACACTGCTGAAGAGCTGAAAACTAAGACGAAACGACCATTCAATGCTTTTAGATCATCAATAATGGTCTATCATCAGTGGACTTATAATCTCAATCAAAAATAAATCAATTGAGAGAACCTAACATCTTTATACTTACTTACCTACTTACTTACGCCTGTTACTCCTCATGGAGCATAAACCGCCAACCAGCATTCTCCAACATCATCATAACTTTCTTATTATCTAAAACTTATTCACATGAATCTTTCTAGTTGATTCATATAGATTTATAATTGAATGTAACTAACATGATTGGTACTTTTCATGATATGGTGAATAACGATTTATTTTCTAATATATATAAAGTGTTTATTATTAAATGTAATCGAATTTCAGTCAATCATTTAGAGTTACATACAATCTATGATATAGAACAGATGTTCATTTAACCAAGGTATGAAATTAAATCGAACTACCGAACAAACAAGAAGTAACAATCATAATAATAATAATAATAATAATATTGTGGTTTGTACTACTTATATTGATATAAGTAGTATATAAAGCAAGTCAGGAAATATAATATCTGGCAGCTTGAAGATTGAAAAGATCAAGAAGGAAAGAACGAGAATAGGAAGTAATTTATATAGAAATGCAGGAATAATAATAATTTATTTATTTATTTTAACACATAGGTATAGGTACATGGAGGCACCAAGTACATATGCGCCACACGAATCTCAATTGATTTGTGTGAGGGCTGTGATACTGACTGGGTGCACAAACCGAAGCAGGTGGTTTTCTTAGGGGGCCACATCCCGAGCCTTCGACCTGAACGTCTGATCCACAAGGCAGTGGAGCATCGTGAGGAGATGCAATCCCATGGTAGCCGGTGACCAACGATTGGTTCATACGCCATTTGTTCCGCAGGATACTGGAGCCAGCCCATGTGCACCATTGGTTTGGGATCCGGTTAAAGCCGATGCCGGAAATTCGCTTTTCGTCCTCTCAGCTCCGTGGACAACACCTCCGACACGAGAACTCAGTGAGTAGGATTTCCCTGACAGAGGCTATATACGCGTGGCCATGTGAGAGCATTTGGAGAGGGAAAGCGGACTCTACCCACTCTTGGTCGTACCAGGCAATTTGGGGGCATCTTAGTTTCAAAGTTTCAAAGGCAATATCTAGGCATACGCACAGTATGCACATATACTAATAACAGACTGATCAATTGTAGTCTTAAACGTCAATCGGAAGATACAAGCCAAACAATATCATGTGAATCTTAGTTTCATAGTTATTCACATCAAAGTATTCATTTGATTACTGCATAATAGACTAATTAATTCACTATTTGGTTTTAAAAAAATTAACTGAATGGTTTCAACTATTGATTAAACAACATGTATTTAATAAGACAAATTATTGATTGATTATCATCGTTTACCTGATTCGCATGAATCAAATTTTGATTCATTAATTGGTAATTGATCCAAATGATTTTCTTCTTTTTCTAGTGTAAAAAGGTCGCATCTTACTCCACGATATTGGGAAATACAACTAGAATAAAGAAGATAAATAAGAAGTAGTAGTACTTCATCAACATAATTGTAATGTTATATATAATAGTTGAATTCATGAGTTAATAAAAACTAGATCACCATGTAGAACCTGGAAGTATTCAACGATCATTTCTACCAAGGATAGAATTATTCAAACAGTGCGTATTCATTATTCTGCATGCGTGATTCGAACCGACAACCTATCGGTTTCACACACGAACGCTTAAACCTTTAGATCATTGAGCCAGCCATCATTCAACGATGTTGATGTCTAACTTTAATCAATCCAATTAATAATAAAGATTAAATAATAAACTGTACAATAAGACGGAAAAAGATGTTTTCTTACATCATTCCAAGTAACATGATAAATTTGAAATATTAGATGGTTTCATCTATGTGAAATGATTCTTCTTAGGAAAAGCAAGAAATTCATATTATTATCCTCTATTACATAATTCAACCTTCAATAATAGATAATCTCTATCAAATACAAAGTATTTTAGTGTACACTGAAGGCTTGATAACAGCTTTAATTCAGTATATATAGTAATTACTTACTTACTTACTTACTTACTTACTTACCTACGCCTGTTACCCCTTGTGGAGGAGCATAGGTCACCCATCTGCAGAAATTAGTTATTAATTGAGATCATGAACTGATTGATGTTAGACCACCGTTGGAAACCTGGAAGCACTGGACGGCCGTTTCGTCCTATTGCGAGACTCCTCAGCAGTGCACATCTACGATCCCGCCCGCGGGATTCGAACCCAGGGCCTTCAGTCTCGCGCGTGAACGTCTAACCTACTCGACCACTGAGCCGGCATTCAACGGGAAATAAAAGCGGATATGAAAAGGATGAATAACAAGTGAAAAGAGCTGGAAAGGATTGGTTGGGACAGGGTTGGATGGAGAATGCTGGTGAGCGGCCTATGCTTCTTGACGAGAAGTAACAGGCATATGTAAGTAAGTAAGTAATTTTAGACAGTGAGTATAGGATCCTTAAGGTCGTATAAAAACCATGTTGTTTTGTGAAATTCAATATTAATTAGTTTGAAATGTAGTACGAGTAATCTGCAATGCCATCGTTGATGACATTGATGACTTCTTCATCAAGCTTGATTTCTTACTAAAAGCTTGTGGACTTATTTCAAAGTAAATTACTAATCATAAGTAATATTCTGTTTAATGATGGTATGTTTATTGATGAGCAACGAATGCAAATGAACAGGGACTTTCTGATTGCTTAAACATAGATAGAAATGTATTTTCATATCGATGTACATAATAAAGTGTTCGTAGAGAAATATCTGGTTTTGAATAGATTTACAATTGATTGACCAACATGTTCGATAGCATTCGATTTGTACTAAAG